GCGACAACTCCTTCGCGCGAAGGTCGCGTATATCAGTTCGCAGTAAGGTGATTTTACATCACTTTTGATCTCATTTTTCCTAAAGAACCCTAAATCCACATACTCTCTCTCTAAGATCCAACTTCTCTTTACAAATCCCCTAGAATCTAAGGGTTTCTACTCTACTCTCTTTGAGAAAAAGGTGGAGCATCTTGTGGGCTTCCATTCCATCCGAGTAAAGCTTGATTTTGTGCAATTTCAAGATTCTCCTTTTCTCTCTTAAGCTTCTACACTTGAGGTAGGGATATTCTACTCTTTGATATGGTTTTTAACCTAGGTATTGGTCATTTTGTATAAATTGTGAAGTTTAGGAGTTTTGGGTAAAGCTAGGGTTTAGGTTTAAATTTTGAAAATGAGGTTTTCTACATTAGATTCCATATATATAGGTGAGGTCTTGAATATGATGTTAATTGAACATAAATGATGAAATTTGGACTTGGAATTGATATTTGGGAAAAAAGGGAACATGGCCCTAATTTGTATTAAATAATTATTTTGTATAAATAATGAAATTGATAGGGGAAATATGAAATTGGGAAGCTGTATGAATGAATTGTGTAGTTGGATTTGTTAAATCACTCACCTATGGAAATTTGATAGATTATCTGTTTAAAGAATGTATATCTGTTTAGAATTATCTGTTTTGGGCTATCGGTGGAGGATAGCTATGATTGTTGTAGAAACTACATGTGGATTAGGTGAACTGAAACCTATCGTTTAATTTACATCATTGAATATGACGGTATGTTTGAGATATTGAATATGTATCGTGGATAGTCATTGTATATGACGATGTCTTTAATATATTGTATATATATTATTGTTTAGGAGAAGATAGGGAATGTGCTCCATTGTTTGGAAGGAGATAGGGGATGGACTCCATTGAAAACTAAGTTGGCCGAAGTGTCTAGAGTGAAAGTCCCGAAATCTTATATATATATGGGTGCCGATTCCCTTGGATGTGAATTCCGTAAAATGGCAAAAAAATGGAAGTGTTGAATTGATGAATGTATTGAATTGTAAACCATTGAGTTGTAGTCTCATTTTTGGTTGATTAGATGATAATGAACTTGATAAATGGATTAATCTGGAATGGAAGAATGGAAATGGATTGAGGTATGGTTATCTATATTGAATGGTCTTCGAAAGAATATGTGTTGGTTATGAATATTGCACATTTATCTAATGCTTATATCTTAGTTAAATCTCATATACTGTTTTAGCATATCTCTACTAGGTTTTGGCTCACTCTACTTGGGAAACCATTTTCAGGTACAGGTGACATGCCGCCTCCAAGGACATAGCTTGAGAGGTTTAGGGGCTGAAGGCTCCATTTTACTATTTTGTTTTGTGTTAAATGTTTATTCAAGCGGAGGGCTTTATATGTATAGAGCTTAGGACTCTTTTGTTGTAATCAAGTAATATCTTGGAAAAATGTAAGCCCGTAGGGCATTTATTTTGTTGTAACTAATTAGTGTTACATGTTGTAGTTTCAGAATGAATATTTATGAAAGTATAATACATGTAATCTCTTTTGTAATATAAACTTTGATGAATGAAAGTAATACATTTCTTATTATGTTTATGAATCTCTTGGGTTAGTTTATCCTCTCTATTTTGAGGGCGTTACAAGGAATTGCTCTTCAATTTCGTAAAAAACCTACAACCATAGGCAGAGCAAGAGTTACGACGCCAAGGTTTGCAAGACCTTGCAACGGCCATAGTGGTGGCAGAATCACTTATTGAGTACAAACGTGGGGACGGTAAGGCCAAGACATCCAAGGATGATCCTAGCAAAAGTTTTGGTGAAAATAAGAAGGATGAGGATGAAGGTGTCTGACGCAAGGAAAAGCACATCAAGCCTCCAACTAGCAAAGAGGGCAAGGTCAAAGAGAGCAGAGAGAGATTCAAACCCAAGAACAAGTGCTTAATATGTGACGGGCAACGTTGGGCAAGAGAGTGTCCCAAGAGCAAGCCCTCAATGCCATGATTAAAGAACGGGAAAATGTGGAGACTCAGCAGATAAGATCTCTATAACTGCTTGGTGCCATCAAATCGAAACCTACTACATTGACTTAATGGGATAAGGGCTTAATGTATATGGATGCCAAGATCAACGGAAAGACAACCCAAGTCATGGTAGACACAGGCACATCGCACAACTTCATCAAGGCGGAGGAGACTAAGAAGCTTAGTCTTAAACTTGACAAGGGTCAAGGATTGATCAAAATGGTGAACACCAAGGCAAAGTCCGTAGATGGCATGGCTCGAGGGGTTAAGCTGCACCTTGGTGGGTGGCGCGAAAAAGTCAATTTTTTGATAGCATCACTTGATGACTATGACGTGGTGCTAGGGATGGAATTTTTGCGGGAATTTAACATAACACAGTTACCTCGTAACAACATTATGTGCATTATAGAGGGTGGGCCTTGCATGGTCCCAATGGTAAGTAAGCTAAATACTGAACTCAAACTTCTATTAGCTATGTATATCTAGTTAGGGACAGACAAGAAAGAGATAGTAGGCATTGCTAAGAAGATGATTGGCTCTACAGAGGATAGTCCACTAGCATGCACAATTGTTAAGTCATCAATAGAGCAAGTGGACAAGACAAATCTAAGAAGGCGCAAGTCAAAAAGAAAACCTGCGACTTCAAAGAAGAAGGCACAATAAAGGCGTCACGAGATGGAATATTCTGGAAGCTCTTGGAAGACTTGAGAAAATATGGGAATATAGTACATAATTCTATAATGTATATGAAAGGATTTGAGAAAAGGTTCTAAAGCATTCAAGTGAATATTAAAGGGATGGAAGCAATAAAAGCTTCTAGAACCTCCTAGAGAAATAGAGGTAGTAAAAGATCATTGTACCTACTTCTAGAATGAGGTAGATGTTTGCATAAATATTTTTAGGAAGAATTCTAGAACCCTAGGATAATGAAAGCTTTCATGAGAAGTTTCTCCATAATCCTTTTCTTGTATGCTCTGAAATATTCTAAAGAAAGCCTAAGATGCCTATAAATAGAAGATGGGCTCATTTGCTCTATCAATGATCCAAGAGTTGGGTAAGCTTTCTCAAAATGAATACAAAGGCGTTCTCTCAAACTCTCTTTGTCTTCTTACTTGTCTTTCTTGCAAAGTTTGCGGGTTACGCTGACTTAGCATCACCAAATATGACTTGTGATTGTCTAAGTGCTGCACGGATAGCTTGGAAACAACCAAGGCCGTGACACTAGGCTCACTTTTGAAAAACTTGCGTCATCTTCGTATGTAACCCTAAAAGATCCATTTTGTTTTTATATATGGAAAAGTAGACACAAGGCACACATATAGCTGTGTATATATGCACACACACACATATAGATAGACATTCAAGACTAGAAAGAGGGAAAGAACACAAGAAAATGAAGAAGAAAGTAATTGTATACCTTATTCACGAGATGTGGTGGTTTCAATGCTAGTGGTTAAAACTGAGTTCAATCACCATTCACCTGTATGCATAGTTCTTTCGTAGAACCAAACATAGATGAAGGCTAGAGTCAAGTTTTTATTTACATTTTTATTTTTTCTTATAAAAATATGTACTCATTCATTAAGATGTACACTAATTTTTTTTTGTTTTTAAAATATGTGTATAGAGAAAATTTAAATATAATCTTAAGGGTGTATTTGGATATCCATTTTGGTCATTTTACTTTAGGATATAATGTCTTTAAAATAAAATTTTATTAAGTGTGTGTACTGAGATAAGTAAGAGTATGGAATTTTCCTAAAATATATTACATTCAAATTATAATCATTTTATTTTTTCTCTCACAAAAGTAAAAAAAATGTAAAAACTATCACAATCAAGACCTTTTAACATTAGGCTAAAATAGTTAAAAAGCCAAAAACCAATGCACATCCCAAATGGAACTCGAGTAAAAATAGATAAAAACACAATTAATTATTTAAAAGATATAGAATAGAATCCAAAATATAACTATTTGTAGCAAATTGTTGTCTCTAGTATAATCAAATTATACAAATTATGTGCACAAAATATTTTTATACATTAACAAGTGTAACATTCTGTCAAAAAAATATTAATTTGAGATAAAATAAACTAATGTCAATAGTTGAAAGGTTTATTTAGGGTTTATTTGGGAAGTTAGCTGTTTTATATAAATATTTGACTTCTTGATTATTTTAACTTGATTAAAAAAGTTGCATTTAGGAAATTTGTTAGATTTTTTTTTGTAATTAATTTGATAGTTGTAAGAGAAGCAGTGAAATGATTATAATTTAGATGTAATATTTTATTTTATTTAGTCTATTTCATCTTTTATGTTTTTGGGTAAATTACACTTACTCCCCCTGAGATTTGAGTTTAATACGCATCACCCCTGACGTTTGGGAAATTACATTAATCCCATGGTCATTGTAATTATTTAAATGGAATGAAAATATTGAATTCATACACTCTCTCTTTTCTTGCTTTGCTTTACTTCCTCTTTTTTTTTTTTTTTCCTTTCATTTGCTTTACTTTTTTTTTTTTTTTTTTTTTTTTTTTTCCTTTGCTTTGCTTTATTTTTTTGTCAATGTAATTTCCTCTGTTTTTTTCTGAAAATTGTTACCTTTTATATAAGCAGGTGTTTGTGAAATAAGACTATTAACCACAAGAGTAGAAATGTAATTTTTAAAACGTATGGGGTGAAATGTAATTAGATAAAACCTCAGGGGTGTCAATGTAATTTACCCTATGTTTTTTTAGCCAAAAAGTAAATGTCAAACGAAGTCACAATAGTCAAAAAAAATTATTATAAATTGTTATATCACTTTTCCCATTTTTTTACACATATTTTTATAAAAAGTCAAAAAATTATTAAAATAATTTATTTCTAAACGGGCCTAAATTGAGGGCCTCCAATGTTTGGGCTTTATTAACAGGCCGATCTGGATCTAAGCCCAGCCCGAAACGCTTATTTTTATTCTTACACAGGAATTTCTTTCTGCTCCCTGGTAATATCACTTTCCAAAATCAAGTCGATACATACTTATCATCTCTCTATCTCGGAAAACTAGGGTTTCAACAGGTGTTTATTTCGATCGAATTGTGTCCATTTTTTGAATAATTTCGTTACTATTTTCTGATTATTTTTCTTGATATCTTTTGCAGATTGCGAAAGAGTTCTTTTTTCATTGTTCTTCAACGATCGCAGGTGAGATTTCGATGTTATTGTCTTTTTCGCATTTGCTTCTTTTGAAAATTGAAGCAAACGGAACCAATTCTTTGTTTTTTTGTTTGTTTTTCTCTCTCTTTTTTATATGTGTAATTCAAAAATTAGTTTTTAGGGTTTAGCTTTGGATTACATTGCTTCTTTTTTTGTGGTTGTTTTGCGTATACAAACACACGAGGAGTTAGGGCTCGGAAAAATAATTCTGATCTTTAATGTTTCTGCACAGAGGAAAGTTAGGGCATTTGTGGGCTTTTATAGTCATCTGAATCGGGGAAAGAGGAGAGGGTGAAAGAAAGAAAGGTTGAACAATTTAAATTGAAGAATACTGACTGAATAGACCAATTTGATAATTGAACTTGATTAAAAATTTGAATATTGTCTCGGATTTTGGTCATCGAAACTGCGTAACGGTCAAAAGAAAAAAGAAATATATGTTAGATGATCGTTAAAATATATGTGTTTATGGGTCCTTCCTTATGTTAAGGATGGAACTTACTTCAACAAGTTGAGGGCCTGGCTAGACTTGTCTTGAATTAGTTTTTAAGAACTACCTCCTCTTAAATTGTATCTTGTAGTTTGAATCATTTAGTTAATTCTGTGTAGGATCATCATTTTGAATTTTTAATTAAATAAGATGTTAATCAAGATTTCTAGTTGGCTTGTCTTGATTGTCATATATCGTATTTATTTTTGTCCTCTCTTTGCATAGCCTTGCACTTTCTTTTGTGTTCTTTGAATTTTCCTATGGTTGTGTGCATATCTTGGATCACTAGGATCCTTGTTGTGATATGATTTGTTCTTAGTGTATACTCCACCAAGATATGTTGATGGTCATTTAGTTGTCAATTCAATCTATAAGGAGATGATTTATTAAATAACTAAATAAATCTTTAGGGAGATGGATTGATAGGAAGAAAACATTTTCATGTTCTCAAATTCTTCATATGGTTTAGTGAATGAATGTTATCACATTCGTCTACCTCTTTCTTATAAGATTTAGTAAGAGTTGTGACATATGAGTTAAACAGACATATTTCCTTGCTGGTATGATGTACCTGTTTGGGAATTGAAATACAGATGCATGGATCTCAAAAATATGGCACGGTTTAATGTAGTTGCGTGGTTAAGAATTGGGTGGATAAACTTTGGGTGGTTTGTGCATGATTACACCCTTATATCTGCAGTAGATGGTTGATTTGTTGCCTTTAAGTTGTGCTTTTTTTTTTTTTTCTTTCCTTCTTTTTTTTAAAGTTAGTTATTTTTTTACTTCTGCCCACACTCATGTGTTGATGTATTCATATGAAGAACAGGACAGGACTTGAACTATGGGGAAGAGGAAGTCAAGAGCAAAGCCACCACCAAAGAAGCGGATGGACAAGCTTGACACTGTTTTCAGTTGTCCGTTCTGCAACCATGGCTCTGGTGTTGAATGCCGCATGTAAATATTTATTCTGATTTTCATGTCTTCCAATTTTTTTCCTCTCTCTCTCTCTCTCTCTCTCTCTCTCTAATGTAGATAAACAAAAGGCAATAAAACTACTTGTCACCTTCTACATTTGGGCTCGACTGTCTCCTTTTTGGTCAATGCTTGAGATATTTATAAAGATAAACATGAAACTAGACTTAGTTGATTATAAGAAACTTTCATTTTACCTGTTTAATAGTGTCACTTGAGACTTCATTGTTTCCATTACATAACGTGGGTGATCTAGTAATTGAAGAGCCTTGATTTTTTTCTGAGCCAATGAGAGAATTGAAAACTAAAATGAATAAGCAAATGGTCCAAATGCACAAAATAGTGGAAGGCCATGGATGCTAATAATGAGATGATAGTTGATTGATTGATTACTTTTGTTGTTGGTTTTCAGTGATATGAAGAACTTAATTGGCGAGGCCACATGCAGGATTTGCCAGGAGAGCTTCAGCACCACTGTAACAGGTATGGTCTATTGCCCATGCTTTTTGGTGGTTGTTAGTATTTATAATATTTATATTTAGTAGAAAACAATGTCCCAAAACTCCCAGGCACGGTAGTAATGTGGGAAGATTATTTCATAATCACTTGACTAAGTTTGCTTATTAGTGAAAAGCAATGAACTTCTGGTTTTAAGAAGAGATAGAGGTAATGTGGAAGGTGAAAAAGAAGTAAGAGAGGACATAGTTCTGGTAGTTTCTCCATTTCTTCCTTAGAAAATTATGTTATGTTCATCACCATCGTCAGAAAATTTCTGAAAAGATGATTGCAGTTCTTTGTCCTTAAATGTATCAAAAATTGAAACTCATCTGTACACGCATACAGTTTCGAAGAAAAAATGTAAGTACTTTTTTTCCCCTTTTCAAATGCACTTCATTTGTGCAGAACAAATCAAATTTTTTCTATTATGGTGTTGCGCCTGCCTTAATACTCTTGTTTTTTCATTTATGTAACAAATGCATAGAGTTTTGTATTGGTTACAATAGGTTTCTTGGCTGGTTGAATTTAGTATCTGACTAATTTTTGTTTCTTCTGTTGTCTACAGCTTTAACGGAGCCAATAGACATGTAAGTGCAATTACTTTGCACACTTCTTATATACTTCTCTCGCTCGCTCTCTCTCTCTCTCTCTCTCTCTCTCTAACCTGGAAGTTGGACATGTGCAGATACAGTGAATGGATTGATGAATGTGAACGAGTCAACAACAACGAGGAGGAGGAGGATGCTTGACAGAAGACTTGATGCTCTGAGAACCAGTTTGACTGGTAGATAAGTAAAAGCTAGAAATTGTTTAAATTTCTGCAAAGCCTGTATTTCACTCGGTTCTTGGCAGGAGCAATGGGTGAACTTATATATATTAATCGATAATAGTTGGTGTGCTGGCATAATGATATAAGCTATGATCTAGAAGCTAGCAATCAATTTTACAATAATTGAAACCCTCGCGGCGGAGGCTTTTCAATGTGCCAAGCACTCTGTATTGCACTGAATAGTTACTTTGCTGGTTTATATAAATGGTCTTCTAGCAGTTGCCTTGTGGTCTGAATGGAGTCTTGATGCCCATTTTCATGTGAATTAATGATTTTGTAATTACTTGGGTGAAATTTTCATATGATACTCATTTTGGTTTAAAAATAGTTTTTGAAAAGTTGAAAGCAACCTCTTTTTGTGAATAAGACCAGCAACTTTTTTAATTAAAGCTCTTGGATATCAACCCCAACAAAGTTATCGAACAAGCCCAAACCCGAATCTTTTGGAAGGGACCGCATGAGAAGGAATGGACCGCTTGGTAGTGGTGGTGGCAGAGACAAGGGACCGTGTAGTGGAAGAAGGTGGTGATGATGATTGTAAAGCCACCTAATTTTTGGAGGCCCCACCACTATTGTTGCTTGAGCTGCCACGATAAGAAGAAGCCAACTGAGGTGTAAAGGAGGTGGAGGAAGAGTGTGGAATGGGGGTTGTAGGTTGTGATCACACACCAGTAGCAGAAAAGAGCGTTTGGGACCAAGTACAATACTAGCGTCGTGCGTACAGAGATCATGTCGATTGCTATGTCGAGCTCAGTGAAGAGTGCAATAGCATGTCTTCAAAGTGGGTTGTTATTAGAAAGGTGTAAAAATGAACAATCTAAGAATTCTCAAAATCCTTTTTGGCCCCAAAACTCTCACCAAAAAACCGTCTTGTTCTCCTCTAATTTTGTAATACGGTTGTGCAAGGTAAAATCCGAGCCACGTTGGCATAAGGGCATGCCACGTGGTAGTGCTGTTGAGCTATACGCCCAAGCATGTGGCCAAGCACTACTCCAGGTCGGACGGCAAGGCTCAAGCAAAGGGTGAGCCAGGTCTAAGGGCAGTCCACACCACGTGAAAATAGGCAAGCCTTTTCACGCCCATTCCTGGTACATTGTAGATGGGGGACATGATCCCACATTCGACGCAACAATGAGGGAAGTGACACAACTATCCCAATCGTCAACAACAGCTAGTAAGGCTCCACTGATAAATACACACAAACATCACAAAAGTCTAGGAGAAGTAATCACTTGACTTGTTCCAAAAATGGCATCGATCCCACTTAATACTATCGATTCCATGACCAAAATTGGACTCAATTTATTGTGTGAAAAACATTTGCTAATTCAGTGCCATTGATAAAATGTAAGTATTTTTGCAACTCAAAGCAAGAATGATCCATTAATCAAAGCAACATAAATTCGAAATTGAAAGCATAATATAAATAATAGATCCATCAACTCACAGCCAACAAACAGTAATAAAAAATAAAATTTAAAGATATCAACCACCACCATGTACACATTCCAATGATAACCAGATAAAACTCCCACATATGTAATGTCTATATACCCAGCAACGAGAAAGTTACATATTTCTCCTAATATCTATCATGAACTTTGTCCCTCCTAGATAAATTATTAGATGACAAGTCTTTAAAACCCAAAACAATGGTTTGGAAGATGTTACATCAGTACTCTTTACACTATAAGCACAATTAGTTAAGAAAATGACCATAAGAACAGCCAATTTCGCCATTTGTAAACCATCTTCCAGCAGTTAGAATATGCTCCCGGTAACACTCAATTATGCACAAGATCAAGATCCTCGCGACAAAAACAAGGGTTTGATTGCTGAGAGACCAAAGACTGGATGATATATAGTGAGACGGAAAAAAAAGAAAAAAACATCATCTTCAACCATTGCATATGAGCTATGCAGAAACAATTTGGTTGATGTACACTAGACCCGACAAAATGCTGCTTATTCCTTGTGAAAATGAGTTTCTTCAACTAAGTCAAGTAATAGCCAGTCAAATTGTCAACAAGATAATCATAGGGCTCACCTGTTCCATAATCAAACCCGTCACTTGTAGGTGCCATACGGTTTGGAGCAGAGTACATATTTCCAACACCGTCCTTCAGAGCAGCCTTTGTCCTTCCCTTCACAGATCGCTTTTTATCCAAGGGAAACTCAGCAGTGAGCCTTCCCATCTGCTTCTGCAGATCAGCAACCGAATCATTTGTTAATTTACCTTTTGCACTCTTCTTCCCATCAACCAGCTTTAATTCCAATCTATACAAGGCACACACGTCATATTTATTGATCTCGTATTCATAAAGGTGCCATTCGAAATCTTTCCTCGGTTGTGGATCCATATAGTAAGATCTCTTCAGACCTTCGTGTTCGTTCATCACTTGTTTCCTTGACTCATGCCAGCCGCGTCCATTATAATCGGGTAGCGATCTTTGCTTTCTATTCCCACTCTCAAACGCTCTTCGAGGCTTATCAAAAAAGAGCCACTCCCTAATTGTTTCACCCTCAAGAACTGTAAGATCAAAGAGCTCTGCAATAGCAAATTACAAAAAGGAATATTATGAGTGAAGTTCCGCCTAACTAGGGCTGCAAAAAGAACCACGCTACTCGAGCTTGACAAGTGTTCAATTTGTTAAGAGCTTGTTCAAGATCAGTTCATTAAGAAAACAAGCCAAACTTGAACATATTTTAAATCTCATTTAAGTTCTCAAGACCAACTTGAGCAACATATGACTCGATAATTATATATGCACTACAAAAAATCAAGCTACTCGTGTTCGGCTTATTAAAAGATCATTCAAGATTGGCTCGTCATGTAAATAAGTCAAGTTTGAACACATTTTAAAGCTTGTTAAGTTTTCAAGCCAAACTTGAACAACCTGCTACTCGGCTCCTTGACAGCCGTACACCCAATAGTGGAGAGAGATGGGGAGAGACAGTTTAAGTTGTTCACAAGTGAAAAAACTAACCAGGAGCATTCCATGGGGACTTTGTAGTCGCAGCCCCCTCACATTCTGGAATACCAACATCTTTTCCTTGTGCTTTTGCACTAAGAGCAGCAAAAAGCAGACCATCCTTCAGGCCAATGCCAAAGGGTCGCAGAACTGGAGTCATACCAGGTGGGCCTTCATTTGCTGCAAGTGCTGCATGAAAGGTACTGCAATAATCTAGACACCAATCCAATCCTTGAACGGGCCTGGGACAATCCCAAAGTGAACATTTTGGCCCCAAGAAAGCAGAAGGTGGAGGGCAAATATTTGGCAAAAAGCCAGAAATCTGATGGATAGCATCATCTCCATACAGGCCAGTACCATCAAAACCAGGGAAGTTCTGCTCAACATCTTGATGTAAATCGTACGTCTGATAGTCCAGCTGAGAAGGAAACCCCAAGTTATTTACTCCCATGTTTTGAACTACTGAAGGGGAGCCTTTGCAATGGCCAACCACCAACTGGAAGTCGTGTCCATGTGGCCCCGGATTCACATGAAAGCCCTGCAGAAACCCATTGCACAGATTCTTTGTCAGTATCTACATATAACTCTTGCAGACTTGCTAAAGAGTGAGAAAAATAATTAAATCAGAGACGAAAAAAATAGAAGGAATTGAGGACCCCATTCTCCTTTTATCCCTGGACATATCCATGTTCAATGAATGGAATAATATAAGAAATAGATATCTGAAAATTAGGTGGTTATACTTGGAGAAAATACATATCATCTAAATAAAGAAACAGCAAAAGGTTTGACATAGAAATGGAATGAGATGGCTCAAAGTTTCAGAAGACATTTTTATCAGCAAAAATGGAAATACCATTAAGAAGACTTAGTGGTAGAACAACAAGATTTGACTTTAGAAATGTAAAGATTTACAAAAGGTATAGATTTGCAAAAGGGAAAGTACGCATGCTGTAAGCATAGCCAAAACTAGATGATGGATAGAGTAATGGATAAAAACTTATTAGGGTAAAAAAAATGTTGGAACCTGGGACCTTAATTAAGCTAAGTGCTTTTAGAGTGACAAACAGAAAGTGTTCTGTAATGAAGGTAAGATTAAACAGAGCTTAAAGAATTCCCAAATAATTCAATAGAAACAATAGATAGGACAATAGATTACGACTTAATTATGCTACCCAGGTTAAAATTTTGTATGCACTGACATAGCATTACAGAGTATCCTACCTTAAAGAGATCTTCAAAAAGACAGACCCACATATTTAGAGCCCAAAGATAAAACTAATTTAAAGCAGATAAGCAATCACAGATAGTACAAGTTAGCTAACAAGAGCATTTTGATGAATGTTATAGTTTGCTTTGTAGATTCTTTTTGGGAAGAAAAGGTACGTGTGTGATCATGGATTCCATGGTAGAAGTAGTTCTAGCGCTATGGGGGCTCTATCTAAAGGAGGTATAGACCTGCATGGTATAATATGATGAAGCTGGAAAACGTAAAATCAGGTTCAGTTAAAACCACCGGACACAGAAACTAACAGCAGCTGCCAAAAATAGGGGGCAAGGATACGCTCACAATTCTAATACTAAAATCTATTTTTTAACAGTCCTGGTCTTTGTCGTTTAGCTGGTGGAAGAAAGTGCCCATATATATACACACTATTGGTGGGTGCAAACGCATTTACATCTAAATTTTAGGCAGTTTTGTGAACGAGGAAGATGGGCTAAATTTGAAAATTGTACAGCAATTATTTTATGGCCATCGTTAGAAAAGAAAAAAGAGTGACAAAGCTTCAATATATGTTCCGAGTTGTGTGCAGTATATAATGGAATAGATAACAATAAAGGTGATATTCAAAGTTGCACTAGGCACTGCATCACTTATGAACCATCCAATCAAACTCTCTAAGAGAGTAATTAAGCACAGACAAAGAGAGAGAAAAAGATGCACAGAAAATGACAAATGCACAACGACAAACACAGAAATGGACAGAGGAGAGATAATTAGATAACTAACTTTTAAGGCATGACCTACAATGTTGGATTTTAGGTACTAACAAAAACTACCACATAGCATTTATTGATTTTGAAGAAACATATGGCATACTAGATAACACAGCAAGATTCTGAAAAGGATGTACAAAAAAGAGCATAAAATTGATACAACAGTTAGTAAGAACAACTAGAGACGTTCTTGCCTGTGTATGGGAGAAAAAAATAAATAAAGATTCCACTGTTCATATCCTCCTACAATAGATTTATTAGCCAACAAATTGCCCACGAAAAATAAAAACTTAGAATTATGGAGACATGCTTCAAGTCTTACATGTATGCCTACCATACCATACCATACCAACCCAACTAAGCCTTTGTGTCCCGATAAATGGGATCAGCTGCAAGATTCTTTTTTCGCCATTCCAGCTCTATCAAGGGCTATGTGCTTCAGTAAATTCATATCTTTTTTCACTACCACATCCCACATCAATTTAGGTCTTCCCCTGCCCCTAACGTCTCCATTTATGGTGATCCGATCACTCTTCCTTACTGTTGCATCCTATCACTTTACATGTATGCATGTCTTATCAAATTCATGTGTCCAAAAACAAACCCAAAAAGACAAAATTACAAACCTCTTGGAAGGCGGTAGTATCACCCATTTTTTGGGCATCAGGGTCAGGCTTTGGGGCAGCTAAGCCACTGGTAGCATCATCTTGTTCCTCACATAGTTGCATCAGTCTTTGAATGTCAGCTGAAAAAGAACCCAGACTCCCACCCTACAAAAAATCATTCATTTCACAATCCAAATCACAATTACATCTATAATTCACAATTACATATATAATTTACAAAAAATCATTCATTTCACAACCCAACTCACAATTACATCTATAATTCACAATTACATATATAATTTACAAAAAATCATTCATTTCACAACCCAACTCACAATTATATCTATAATTCACAATAACATATATATAATTAACAAAAAATAATTCATTTCACAACCCAAATCACAATTACGTCTATAATTCACAATTAAACCTGCAAAGAAGAAGCTGGGGAGGGTTCGTTGAGTTCAGCTTTCCATTCGCGAAGCATCTGATGAACTTGCTCTTCAAGCATAGCCACATCGATCGAACGGCTCTCCTTTCTCGCCGATTGGAGATCCGTGAACATGCCTTGGAGATCATCCACACGATTCTTCGCCCTATCTTTGAAGATACTGTGCGACGCAGACTTGCACCCTCCAGTCTTCGACCCCTTTCCCATCACCAAAAAACCCTACACACAGTTCAAAAGTCTCAATTTCACAATCAAAACCAAAGATTCGACTCAGAAACCCTAGTTTTAGAGTCGATCATAAAAAGTTGGAAATTGTGAAGCGTACCTGTTTCGAAAGCGGAGAGTCTGATCTGATGAGAAGAGTAGTGTCTCTATATAGAGAGAAAGTAGTGGAGAGAGAGAGAGAGAGATGCTGTGTGCTTTTTGGAGTGCTTTGTGCTATCTTTCTCTTCTCTCTTTCTCTCCCTAGTGTACAGAGTAGAGAGAGAGAGAGAGAGAGTAGTCTTTGTATTCTACCAGAAAAAGCAATATACGCCGCAATAGATTGAGGTTAATACCCTTCCTCTTTTTGATCTTTGCAATAACACCCCGTTTATTGAGTGATAGAAGTAGAAACATAGATATATAATTTTATGGAATTAGGTTGGGTTTTACTATTGGGATTTAGCTAGAAGCAATGGAGGTGGTATTAGGAAATTAGTGTTTATAATTTTTTTTTTTAATATATGTTGAGTATTTTTTTTTTAATGTTAATATTTAATGTTTTTATATTTTTTTGTTAAATAAAAATCATAATTTTATTTGTTTTAATATTTTATATTTCATTTATAGAGTAATAATTTAATAATCCTCACACTAATAACTATTATCAAAACAAATATAATTTTACTTAATTCCCTCACTATCAATCTCTTCTATTCTACCTCTGAAAACAAACGGGACCTAAGCTGTTTTAAGAATTAATGAGTTTAAAATTATATTTAAGGTTGATGTGTTTACTTAACGAGTTAATTTTAAACGAATTTTTAACGAATTGAATATGAGCTAAATTTGAGTAATTTGATTAGAGTTGAGTTTTTGAATATGAGTTAATGAAAATGATTAGAATTGAATTTTTGAATATTTAGATTTGTTTATTAAGAAGTAGTTGAGTTTGAACTCAAGTGGAACTTAAAAATTTGAGAGCTCAGCTCGTTAAATATTTAATAAACTCGAACTTAGTTCAAGCTTAAAAAAATTTTAAACTTATATTGATTTACTTATTGAGATAAAAAAAAATTAAAAAATTATGAACAAAATATACACTAATTCTAATATTAATAATAAATTTTATCAACCAAATATATAAATTTACACAAATATTAAACACAAATATAAAAATAAATTATTAAAAATTTGTTTGATATATTATTAAAAGTAAATATTAATTTATTTTCTTTATATTCACTAACCTTATCGAGTTGAGCTTGAGACTACTCGAACTCAACTCAATTTAAAAAAGAGCTTAAAAATCGAGATTGAGCTCGCTCATTTAATAAACGAGCTTTAAATGAGCCGAACTTAAACTGTTCATGAACAACTCAATTTTTTAGAAGCCCTGAGTGCATATAAATTTATCGAGCTGCGTAGTAGATCATTCGAGTTTAACTTGAAAGAGATATAAGTATGATTTCTTTTATTTCTTTGTATTTAAAAGACAATCTTGATATTATAAATATTTTACAACCAGCCAATTTATTTTTTACCAAATATCATCATTTTTTTGTAAGAAATTTTTTAAAATGTTTAATAAAAATTTATATTTCTCTCCATTACTTATCATTTTTCACTATTTCTCACTCAACTTACATTTGGAAAGTTGGATTTTAGCTAAAATAGTCAATAAAGATAAAATAGATTAAAATAGCTAATAAAATAAAATATCACATCCAAACTATAATTTTTATTTTTCTCTCATAATTATCAAATCAACTAAAAAAAATAAAATTTCAACTATCATTATAAACATAACTTTTTTTAATAAGGTTAATGCCTTGTTTCAAAAGGATGACTGGCTGTTTGTGATGTGTTATATAAGTGTACTTTTTGATTTTTTGACAAAAAAATAGATATGTTTGTGATAATTTTTTGAATTTTTACAAAAAAATGTGTAATAAATATTGTAGTAAAATCAAAATGACCATTCTATCCTTATTGACTTTTTGACTTTTTGATAGTTGAATTCAAAGGGCAAAATAATAATCTTGCCCTCTAGGCTTTCCCACAAGCTTTCCCAAATAACATGGACCTTTTTGACTTTTTAACTTTTTGATTTTTGTAAGTTATCCCAAGCCGACAAAGCCTCCGTTTGAGAAGGAAGGTTTGGGCTAAAATAGTCATATAAGACAAAATAGACTATTTTATCGCAATAAGACAAAACATCACATCCAATCCATAATCATTACATTCTTTCTCTCACAAAAAGTCAAAAAAACCAAAAAGTCCTTCCCAAACGAAGCTTTTAGCCCTGGGCTAAAATAACCAAAAAGACCAAAAAGTCAAAAAGCCAACCCACTTTCCAAACGAACCAAAAATAGAAAGAAACTTTTTTGACTTTTTGGGTTAAAATAGTACTCAAAGACAAAATAGGCAAAAATAGTCAATAAGACAAAATGTTACATTACACCCATAATCATTTCACTTTTTATCTCACAAGCATCACATACAACTATAAAAATATCCAATTATCTTCCCAAATACAACTATTTTAGCATATCCGTTTGGCAAGGGCTTTTGTGGTTATTTTAGCCACAAAAGACAAAATAGACTATTTTAGCCACAACAAACAAAACATCACATCCAACCCATAATTATTACACTATTCTCTCACAAAAGAAATCAAAAAAGCCATAAAGTCATTCCCAAACCAAGCTTTTTAGCCCAAGCTAAAATAGTCAAAAAAGCCAAAAAAGCCAATTCATTTCTCAAACGGAGGCTAAAATAGCCAAAAACTAAAATAGCCTACTAAAATAACCAACTTTCTAAACCATACCAAAATAGGGTAATTGTGCCAATAAGACAAATGGAGTGTTTGGGAAGAGAAAAGACAAAATACGTTAAAATAGTTAATAAGACAAAATGTCACATCCAATTCATAATTATTTCATTTTTTCTCTCACAACCATCAAATCAACATCATTTTCAAACCCCACCATCATTTCCTCCTCATTCACCAAAAGCTTTCTTTCCATTTTATTCCCAAACCCTAGGTTTTGTTCAAAATGCCACCAAAACCCACCATTGTTACGCAATCACAGATAACTAAGTTAAAACTCATAACAAAGTGTAGAGAAAATTCCTACCTCAAAGAGAGAAGACGAGCCAAGCAAGGATGGAACCCCAAAAATGCCGAAATCCAACTTTAATCGGGTCAAAAAGAAGATCTTGAGGAGCTTTATTTTTTAATGAAGGCTCAAGGGTGTAGAGATCAAAGGATCTAGGTCAAAATGTAGAGAGAATGTGAGTTTTAGAGAGAGAGGCTCTTAATCTTAGGGTTTTGTGTGAAAATATAAGAAAATGTGATGTAAAAAGTGATTTTCGCGATCTGATATATGCGCAGTCCGCTCGAGCAGAAAGTTTCACGCGCGAGCATCATACACAAAGATTTGTTCTGCTCGAGCGCAAGAAGAGGCCCGCTCGAGCGCAAAATACACACCTCTAGAACTTTTACAGACGACAGACCAACCGCTCGAGCTCAAGAATGGACGCTCGAGCGCCCACCCGCTTGAGTGTAGGAAATGCCGCTCGAGCGTGAAAGACACTCCTCCAATACTTTTGTAAACGTGTAAAGTACTGAAGGTTTGCAACTCCCACTCGAGCGGAGAACCAAAAATCTGGGCAACAAGGTTTGGGGAAAACAAGCAACCAACCTGTTCCAAACGCAACCATAACAATCCAAAGGCCAATCTCAAAGAGATACAAGGAAAGAAAGAGGTAAGCAACAATATGAATGTCCTAAGTCGGAGTTAGGAATACCACAAGAGTCGGATCAAACCTAGGATCGCTATAACCTCCTCTGCTTAAAGAATTTAGTCCCCGAAATTTCAAATCAAGTTCAAAATTATATTTAGACCATTCCCAACAATGCTATTCATACAATCCACTACCATGATCCATTCTCCGGTCATTAACTCGATACACAAGTCCCAAATTAAAATGAAATTTACAATTTCTCGAAACATTTACCATGTTAAACCAAACCCACATTTTCAAAATTCACCTAGCATATACAATGCCTTCAAAAGGGATACCATACACCATATTTCACATTCTCAAAAAATATGCAATGTTTATATTGAATTCATGTTTCCAAAATGCTCATAACATATACAATGTTCTCAGAGTTTTAAACACATGCAATGCTTATACTTTTCATCGTCATAATCAAAATCTCAATACATGTTTAGGTATCAATAAACAAGTCCGGATATTTCTTTCGGACTTCCAATTCGCGCTTTCAAGTTGTTTTCTTAACCCCGTGATGTTTCCACAAAACTTTGACTAAAGGAATTGTCTTGCCTCGCAAGACTTGGTCCCGTCTATCCAAGACCCTCACCGATCTCTCCTCATATGAGGCATCCTTATCTACATCCAAGTCGGTCCAATCCAACACATGCAATGGATAGGGCTCATACTTCTGAAGCATACTAATATGAAACACGTCATGCACTTCGAAAAGTTGTGGTGGCAACGCCAAACGATAGGCAACCTCTTCGACCTGTTCAAGGATCTCAAAAGGCCTAATAAATTGAGGGGATGACTTCCCACTCTTCCCGAATCTCATCAAACCCCGCCTAGGTGATATTTTTAAAAAGATATGTTCTCCCACCTCAAAAGACAAGGGTCTCCTCCTATGGTCGGCATAACTTTTCTAGCGACTCTGAGCCATAACCAACCTTTTATGAATAAGTACTCATTCTTTGTTGTTTCCCAAACCAACTTTGGGCCCAACAAAGGTGCATCACCCACCTCGGCCCAACACACTGGAGATCTACAAGGTCAACCATATAGGGCCTCAAACGGTGTCATACCAATACTTGATTGGAAACTATTGTTATAGGCAAACTCCACTAAGGACAAGTGCCTCTCCCACGACCCCTTAAAATCAAGGACACAGCCTCGAAGCATATCTTCAAGAATCTGGATAGTATGCTCGTACTGCCCGTCAGTCTGAGGATGGTAAGCAATACTAAAGGTTAATCTAGTGTTCAAGGCACTCTGCAGGCTCTGCCACAACCGAGCCGTAAAGCGCGGATCTCTATCCGAAATGATCCTCACAGGGACCTCGTGCAATCTTATTATGTCATTGATATACAAGCCAGCAAGATAGTCTATCGAATCACTCACGTGAATAAGTAAGAAGTGTGCAGACTTGGTCAACCGGTCAACTATCACCCAAATGGCATCACTACTCCGTTGAGTCCTCGGAAGGCCCACAACAAAATCCGTCGTGATATGCTCCCATTTTCACTCAGCTATAGGTAAGGGTTGCAACAAACCCGTA